ACCAACAATGGGACACTTTTCCTTCCACTGACACCAACAATGGGGCATTAATCCTTCCATTGACGCAAACAATGGAACACTTACTCCTACCACTGACACCAACAGTTAGGCATTATTCCTTCCATTGACACAAACGATGAAGCACTATTCCTTCCACTGACACCAACAATGGGACACTCTTCCTTCCACTGACAGCAACAATTGGGCATTATTCCTTCCATTGACACAAACGATGAAGCATTATTCCTTCCACTGACAAGAACAATGGGACACTCTCTTCCTTCCACTGACACCAACAATGGGGCATTAATCCTTCCATTGATGCAAACAATGGAACCCTATTCCTACCACTGACACCAACAATTGGGCACTATTCCTTCCACTAACACCAACAATGGGACACTCTTCCTTCCACGATGACACCAAGAACAATGGGAATGGGGCATTAATCCTTCCATTGATGCAAACAATGGAACCCTATTCCTACCACTGACACCAACAATTGGGCACTATTCCTTCCACTAACACCACTAACACTCTTCCTTCCCAACCAAATGGGACACTCTTCCTTCCACTGACACCAAGAATGGGGCATTAATCCTTCCATTGATGCAAACAATGGAACCCTATTCCTACCACTGACACCAACAATTGGGCACTATTCCTTCCATTGACGCAAACGATGAAGCATTATCCCTCCCTCCTAGATTGTAAGCTCCCAGGATCAGGGCCCTCCTTTCCTTCTTGTATTGAACTGTATTGTTGCTGTATTGTCTACCGTTATATTGTAAAGCGCTGAGCAAACTGTTGGCGCGATATAAATCCTGTATAATAATAATAATAACTAGAAAAGCTACAATTTCTGGGGAAATTGTGTGAAGTGTTCTTGCCTCCACCAGTAGTCTACAACTGGAGTGGGCGGAGTAACTGGGTGGAGTGGCTTGAGTAACTGTTGTGTGGTTGAAGTGGCTGGAGTAACTGTGAAAAGGTTGGACTGGGCAGAGTAACTTTATGGAGTGGGCAGAGTAACTGTGTGGAGTATTTGGAGTGAGTAAAGATAGTGAACATTACACTAACCAATTGATCAAATTTAAAAAGTGCACATGGCAAGCTTGATAGAGTGAGAAATGAATTTCAACTTTTAATTATTTATAGTTTTAAAAACAAAAACCTACAGCGAAGAGCTTTATATTGTGAGAATCACAAGACCCAGACCTACATTTTGATGCATAGTATGTCTCTGAAATATTAAAAATGAAGGCACAGTCGCAGTTTAGAAATTGCCCTTCAAATTTGAGGTGGCTAGAGTGGAGTTTCAATGAATGTCAATGGGCGGCGTGAGTTGCAAACACATGGTCATATTGTGAAAACTATCAGGACTATGGCTTAGCCGTGGACATTTTTAGTGGCAGCAGGGATAGCTGAACGTTTTGATATAAGATTTGTGGGCTTGAAAATGAGGGAGTGATGGCAGTTTAGAAATCATGTCCTGATTTTTCAGCTCCCACTCTAGCTTTTGTCAGCTCCCACTCTAGTTTTGAACATTCCGCCATTCATTCCTATGGGACCAATTTCACCACAAAAACTCCGATATTTTGTGAACCATTCGGCGAAACGTTCCACAAAGTGATAGCACACCAATCGGGAACAATCCGCACGTTTCGGTATATTACTGTCTATGTAGTGTAAAAACTGTGGGAGGAGTTAGGGTGGTAAATTTGGCTATAATAATAAGAATATATATATGTGAGATAACAGTAAGTGTTCTGCCATGGAAGAACACTTAATTATTCCTTCCACTGACACCAACAATGTGACACTGTTCCTTCCATTGACGCAAACAATGGAGCACTATTCCTACCACTGACACCAACAATGGGGCGCTGTTCCTTCCACTGACACCAGGAATGGGATACTATTCCACCCACTGACTCTATTGATGGGGCACTATTCCTCCCACTGACAGCAACAATGGGGCACTGTTCCTTCTCCTAATACTAAAGATGTGGCATTATTTACTTCCACTGGTGCCAAGTAATTTTCTACTCCCACTGGCCATAGTCCTCCCAGTAGCCATAGCACCCCCCCAAAAAAAAAAACATTTTTAGGGGCATTAAAACTGGTTCTTTATATGGAAAGTTTGGAGAATCCTGTATTGCGCTAAGGTGGGATATACTGTATATATATATAGGACACTATTCTTTTAATCTAAAGGTAAATGGGCGATTTTAGTAGCTCAATTGTGCTACTAAAATTGCCAGTTGTTAATCTCTTAGGGCTGCACACGCGCTGACTAAGCCCGTTCAGCATAATGTCTGGCGTATTTTCTCCTGGGAGGAGGAATTACACTGGCAATTGCTCTGAATGGGCTCAGACAGTCCATGTGCAAGAGCCCTAAGAGCATCAGCTGATCCTTAAACAGATGGAACCCATGGATTCCTATGGTGTAACACAGGAACTAAGTAATAGCATGTAGTATCGATTCATCGTAAACAAACAGATTATTTGACCACCTTGTAAGTTTTAATTGCTACTACGTGCTACCTGTGTAGTTTACACAATAGAGGGCCATTTGTTATCACTTTATTTTATTATTATTATTGTTATTATATAGTATTTATAAAGCGCCAATGGTTCGCTCAGCGCTGTACATTACAAAGGGGGACAGAACATGTGACAGAACAATACCAATACAATGCAAAACATGAGGGGATCGAGGTCCCTGCTCCTTGGAGTTTACAATCTAGGAGGGAGGGGATAGTGGTACAGGAGGAGATAGCTGTGGGGGATGGAATGGTAGGAAGAGTGGAGGAGGTCGGCAGGTTAGCAGGGGGTGGGGTAGGCTTCCCTGAAGATGTGGGTTTTCAGGGTGCGTCTAAAGGAGAGGAGAGTAGGTGATAATCTGATGGGTTGGGGCAGGGAGTTCTAGAGGATGGGTGACACCCTGGAGAAGTCCTGGAGGAGGAGACCAGGGAACTAGAGAGAAGGAGGTCTTGTGAGGAGCGGAGTGTGCGTGTTGGGTGGTACTTGGATATTAGGTCAGTGATGTAGTTCGGGGCAGTATGGTGGACGGCTTTGTACGTCAGTGTTAGGATTTTGAATTTGATCAACTTTAGCAGTTGATTTCTGTGCATAATGATTAGTCGATAGCAGATTTGATTGAACTACTAAAAAATTACCCATGTAGCTCTATGTTGAAGGAGGTTTAATATAAATGACTAAAGAAAATGGCTTATGAATTTGACACCCAGGGCAGATCATGTTTTAACACTCCTCCCTGCTCTACACAACACATTCTTTTCAGTAATTTTCAAATGAAAGTCATATAAATATCAGAAAAGAATCTGGGAGAAATTGTCCCGTTGCCGTATAACCAGGGGTGGACTGACAACTCATGGGGCCCTCGGGCAATAGGGGATCATGGGGCCCCTGTGTCCTTGCCCAAACTCAAAAAAGCCTATGAAAAACGTACAGGGGCATCTCATGTGGCCCCCTACTGACCCCGGGCCCTCGGGTAGAGCCCGAGTTTCCAAATGGTCAGTCCGCCCCTGTTGTCCACCATTGATTCCCCCAGTTGTACCCCCCCCTAGTATGTATGATTTCCAAATGGTCAGTCCACCCCTGCGTATAACCCAGATCTTTAAGGTCTTTACCATTTCTCCACTCTATCTTGGATCGAAAACCCCCAGCTCTACTACAATGGCTGGCATACCAAAAACTTGCCTTGTTCCCACATTTGGTTCCAAATAGAATATTTTGTCTATGGAGCTGAAAACATTTGAGACCCTTTTACTCCATGGTTCTCCCCCCCTGCTCATTATCTCTGCCATCTACATCATCCTTCTGTCCTGTCTTAATCTCCCTGACTACATGGAAAATAGAATACAGAGTTTGAGTACTTCCTGTCTTCAGGAGGAAATGGGATAAAACCTTTAGACCAACTCACTACGTATCCCTGGTCAGCAGGGTTCACAAGACCAGCTTCAAGATCCTTTCAAGCTGGTACAGGTGCCCAGTTAGTCTCTACCATTTTTACCCCTCAGTGTCTGATGTTGATGATTGTCAACCCATCCACAGACAATATCCCATATTTGGTGGGTCTGCTCCTCCATCAATGTGCTCTACGACAATATCCTTGGAATCTACACTAGAGTCACCAACATTGTCATCCCCGATTCTCCTCGTGTTACATCTCCCAATGCTTTCTGGCTCTATTAGCTCTATTATCACTGTAGCTCAAGCGATTATTCCACCTCATTGGTGGTCAACACAGGCTCCTACCTTACAGGAATGGGCCACTGTGCTAGATCACATTGCACACATGGAGCCTCTTGGAAGGTGTTTAGAGAATCTCAGGATATCAAAGACCTCATTCAAGACTAATATAATTCCACTGGATCCATCCTGTCCAGCTATTCCCTATGGAAGCATTTCCTTATCTTCCCACCATCCACCTCCTGTTCCTCACATGCTGTTGTCTCCCTCCTATCTTTATCTTCTAGTCTACTCCCTTGTCGTTTCCCCTCCTTGCCCTCTCCCCTTTTCCCCTCTTTCCTATTTTCCCCCTAACCTCCATGTCACTTTAGTCATTACCCATATACATTATGCTCTCTTTTTTATGCCAAGAGTCAGTTATTTTCCCCCATACTGTGGGGTGATCCTTCTCACCATGGCTTACCTGTATGTAATTGACCAACATAATCTCTAAACACATCTCCTGGTCCTTCGTTTTCTAAACTCACCTATAAATGGTCACTGTGCAGATTTGAGTCTCTCATATTATGCCAGCCCAATGTAACCTTCTACTAGAGAAATGTAATGTAAACTTTTTCTCTGTTTCTCATCTGCTGCTGACTTCAATTATAACTACTTATCCATCTCAAGTTGTTTCTTGAGCTGCACTACATTGCCAAAAGTATTGGGACACCCCTCCAAATAATTGAATTCAGGTGTTCCAAACACCTCCATGGCCACAGGTATACAAAATCAAGCACTTAGGCATGCAGACTGCTTCTGCAAACATTGGTGAAAGAATGAGTCGCTCTCAGGAGCTCAGTGACTCCAAGCGTGGTCCCGTGATAAGTTGTCACCTGTGCAATAAGTCCATCCGTGACATTTCCTGGCTACTAAATATTCCACGGTCAACTGTTAGTGGGGTTATAACAAAGTGGAAGCAACTGGGAACAACAGCAATTGAGCCACGAAGTGGTAAGCCATATAAAATGACAGAGCTGGGTCAGCGCATGCTGAAGCACACAGTGCGCAGAAGTTGTCAACTGTCTGCAGAGTCAATAGCTAAAGCCCTCCAAACTTTGTGTGGCCTTCAGATTAGCACAACAACAGTGCGTAGAGAGCTTTATGGAATGGGTGTCCATGGCTGAGCAGCTGCTTCCAAGTCTTACATAACCAAGTGCAATGCAAAGTGTCAGGTACAGTGGTGTAAAGCATGCCGCCACTGGACTCTAGAGCAGTGCAGACATGCTCTCTGGAGTGATAAATCATGCTTCTCTGTCTGGCAATCCAACGTGTCTGGGTTTGGTGGTTGTCAGGAGAACGGTACTTGCCTGACTGCTTTGTGCCAAGTGTAAATTTTGGTTAGGGGAGATTATGGTGTGGGGATGTTTTTCAGGGGTTGGGCTTGGCCCCCTAGTTCCAGTGAAGGGAACTCTTAAGGCGTCACCATACCAAGACATTTTGGACAACTTCATGCTCCCAATTTTGTGAGAACAGTTTGGGGATGGCCCCTTCCTGTTCCAACATGACTGCACACCAGTGCACAAAGCAAGGTCCATAGATACATGGATGAGTCAGTTTGGGGTGGAGGAACTTGACTGGCCTGCACAGAGTCCTGATCGCAACCTGATAGAAAACCTTTGGGATGAATTAGAGCAGAAACTGTGAGCCAGGCCTCCTCCCCCGACATCAGTGCCTGACCTCACAAATGTGCTTCTGGAAGAATGGTCCAACCTTCCCATAGACACCCTCCTAAACCTTGTGGACGGCCTTCCCAGAAGAGTTGAAGCTGTTATAGCTGCAAAGGGCGGGGCCAACTCAATACTGAAACCTACGGACTAAGACTGGGATCCATTAAAATTCATGTGCGTGGAAAGGCAGGTGTCCAAATACTTTTGGCAATATAGTGTATGTGAAATCGCAATAAACTGCAGAAGAAGTAATGGAAGAACTACTTTAGAAATTGCACTGCAGCAAGTCGCACATGCTAAACCCTGACATTCACATTCATTAAATGCAATTTCAAGTGCGATTTCAATTTGCAAATCACATCTGAAATCGCACCGGTATGACCGGGCACAAAAAGTACTGTAAATAAAAAAAAAATTGGCATGACAAGAGGGACTTTAAACGAGTCATTATTCCAAGGAGCCAACTCTCACAGCTCCAGTTCTGTTCCTGTACAATCAACATCTTCCTTTCCATGGTGACTGGATTAAGGTGTTGGTGCTACCTGTGTAGATATAAATGTTTGGGTTATCTATCTGACATTCAATAAAACTTCAAAAGTCATCAACTTTATAGAAAATGTCCAGTTGAATGTGGCTAAATAATGCCAGAAATACCAGGGGTGTCAAACTCAATTTCATTGTGGGCCGCATCAGTATTATGGTTGCCCTTAAAGGGACAGTTGTATCTGTAAGACTAGATGTCCAGAACGCCCCATCCTCCCCTTACATCAGACTTCAAGAGTCCCCTACCCTCCCTTGGAGGTGGAAACAAGGGGGTACAGCGGCTGCACAGAATGGCACAGTATCTGTAGGAGGAGTTCTGTCCTCCTCTCTTCTGCCAACTGATGAGACATGGTGGGGTTGAGACAACGTTGGTTTTAAGACCAGGGGTGTGCCGCAGCTGCAAGAGAGGTGTGAGGGCCACATGAAATGGCCTGGCGAGCCAGATTTGTGTTTAACACGTGTGAGCAGGGGCGGACTGACCATTTGGAATCTCGGGCACTGCCTGAGGGCCTGGGGTCAGTAGGGGCCCCATGAGATACCCCTGGTACCTTTTTCATAGGCTTTTTTGAGTTTGGGCAAGGACACAGGGGCCCTATGATCCCCTATTGCCCGGGGGCCCCATGAGTTGTCAGTCCGCCACTGCGTGTGAGATATACCATGACCTTGATAGATGAGAATCTTCAAAGACAGCCATTGTTCAGGTGATGCCAACCAATAATGAAGGGCCTTCCTTGTTGACCAGACTTGTGGACATTATTCAGGAAGGAGTTATAAAAGACATCATTGAAAGCAGCTCTGTATTAATTAATACATTGTGATTTAAGTGGTAGCAGTGACTGTACCTGGGTTTGACCAGGCAATAGCAGTCTGGTGTACAACAGAGCTCAGACTTTAAAAGACTTTTTTTAAATTTTATTTTATCAATTGAGATTTTAGATTATTCTTGTATACAAAGTGCCTAGAGAACCTGCTAAGGTTTTTTTTCTCCTTCAGCGTATCACATTGTTAAATAAAACAAACAGTTAAGGAACTTCTATAGTAGGCAGGGGTGTATTTACCACAAGGCAAACAAGGCACTTGCCTAGGGCAGCATTTTTCAGGGAGGCAGCATCTCCCCCAAAAGAATAGATGAAAGAAGGGACATGTGCACCATGGGAACCAAGTAGGATCCGAGAGAGGCTGCGGGCTGCTTGGTGGTGTATGTAGAGCCTGATTCTCGTTCCTGCGGCTGTCCGGAGCTGTGAAGATGAGTGTCTCTCTTATTGCCGGTGGGGGGGGGGGTAGTGGAAGGCTCTCTCTGGAGGGGGGCAGGGATGTTGTTGGTCAATGTCAGGCTCTTTCCATGGGAGGGGTAAGGTGGGTTGTGTTGTTTGGTGTCCGCAGGGGCAGTCGATTTTTGTGTTGCCTAGGGCTGCACAAAACCTAAATACACCACTGATAGTAGGCCAGCAAAACTCTACAGCTGTGCTTAAAGTGCATAACTTTTTTTCATTTTGGGTACAGATTTCCCTTAGATTCATGTGAGAAGGAAAACCCCTCTTAGATAGTTGTTATGGAAAAGGTGTCCCCATTGGAAGAGTTCCTCTCACCACCAATTTTGTCAATAAGTAAATATTTTGGATTTTCCCTAATTTTTGGTCAATGGTCATCAGGTTAGATAGTAAAGGTGCACACAAACAGCAATACAAACCTGGGGATCTAACCCTTCCCTACACTATCCACGACACAAAGAGTGTTGCCTTTAAAAACACGTTAAAGCCAAACTCCAGGCAGGAATAAAAGACACAAGTTAATGCAGCTCAGCAGGGGCGAACTGACAACTCATGGGGCCCCCGGGCAATAGAGGATCATGAGGCCCCTGTGTCCTTGCCCAAACTCAAAAAAGCCTATGAAAAAGGTACCAGGGGCATCTCATGGGGCACCCTACTGACCCCGGGCCCTCGGGCAGTGCCGAGTTTCCAAATGGTCAGTCCGCCCCTGCAGCTCAGTATTCATTCCTCTATTATTAAATGTATTAAATTAAATGTAAGATCTTGGGTTTGACTTGGTATCAGCCTCTTGCAGTTCCTGGGGTCCAGATTAAGAAGACGCGAATAGCTAATCAGTTGTGCTTCCGTGCTGTTAACAAGGAACATGCTAATAGAAGGAAACAAGGAGATAGGAGGGAAAGGAGAGATGACCTCATCAGTCTGCTGCTTCTCCTTTCAGTGCCCAGTAACAGGCTGGAGGAGGGACAAGACCTGTAAATTTTACTTAACCGCTGCAAAGACAAATCGATTCTCCTGCCTTGCCAGACAGGTCTGTGTTTTGGAGCAGAGATGTGTATTTCTTAGGAGTGGATGGACAGAAAAAAGAAACCTTTGAGCAGGTAAAACATCCCCCATAAATGTATATCTCTATGTATTATACTGTTTGCATGAAGTTCAAATTTAAGTCAGAAACTTTGCTCAATTTAATTTGAGTTATTTTTTAGTGTACTACAGCTAGGTTCCAGAGAACTCTTTACATGTGGGGTGAGTGGGTCTGATACCTGAAAATCTGTAACTTCCTTTTCTCTCTGCCTGATGTGTCACTAATAGGATTCACGTTTCCAAGGCTAAGTTCTGTTGGTTGTGATGAAGCAGCTCTAAGGAACATAGAACAGACACCTTGATACCTCCAGATTTCATGTGACAATCCCCAGAGAGATTGCAGTGTGCGTGTATGGAAATAGCTTTCTTGTATTAAAAATATATTGGAATAAAGGAGTTTCCTGGTCAAATGAAAAGCTGAATCCTTGAGAAAATAAGGACTGGTTTCCTGTACGTATTGCAAGGCCTAAATTAAAATAGGGGTCAGCCTATGAACATTCAGTCGGTTATATATTTTACCAAGAAGTTAATAAACTCTGAAACAAGCATTCACTACCTTTTGTAGCTGTAGATATTGTGGAAAAATTCATCTTTAAAGTTCACAATAGAAGCAGTGTACCTGCTCTGTGGTTACATTAGAGCAACCATTCCCAACCAGGGTTCCATTGAACTCTGGGGTTCCTCTAAAGGTTGCTGGGGGTTCCCTGACTTCTCATTTTTTGGTACCTGGATAGTTCTGGCTACTTGACAGAGGCAGCAGCATTGCACCAATGATCTATACAGCTGTCTGAAAATGTCTGCATTCTGACTACCACCAGGGTGTTCCTTGTTGTGGCCACTAATGCAAGGGGCATTTTTGCCTTCCACACCTGATGAGTGGGTTTTCGTAAGGGTTCCCCAAGACCCTGAAAATTATTTTAGGGATTGCTCTGGGGTAAAAAAAGGTAGAAAAAGGCAGCATTAGAGATTAAGAGGCTGGCAGGCTACCAAGTCACAGCTCAAAGGGATCAGCTAAGTTTAAGAAAAAGAGTGAAAATCAAGAATCTTCGCTGCGAAGTGTGAAGATAAATCGCTCCACTGTGCTTACAGCGTCATATGTCAGTGAGGGCTTGTTTTATAGTTTACTTACTGCTTCCTAAAAATATGCAAATATTAGAAAATGCAACCCTCCCAGCAATGTGTTGGCTGTCTACCAGTCTTCTAATTATTGTAAACGCAGTGCAGGTGCATAGGTGGAGGAAAGCGTGTCTCAAGTTAAACAATTTCACTGCTTCTATTGTGAAGTTTGAGGATTAATTGCTCCACACTGGCTGCAGTTACGGAGAGGTCAGCGAGGGAGTTTCTTTTAAAGGTTATTTACTGTTTGTTGGCACTAATATTTTTTCATGAAATTGTTTCTTAATGTGTTTTTGTGCTTCCTTGTAATGTCCCCTGTGAGCTCCTGAACCGTTCCATCTTTCCACCTACTGACAGTGGGACCATAGAGAATGTAGCCACCCTCTAAATGTCAGTGAGGGCTTGTTTTATAGTTTACTTACTGATTCCTAAAAATATGAAAATATTAGAAAATGCAACCCTCCCAGCAATGTGTTGGCTGTCTACCAGTCTTCTAATTATTGTAAACACAGTGCAGGTGCATAGGTGGAGG